AGCAAGAGAAATTCTTACAGCCCCAGAGAGAAACCTCAGCACTGAGTACTACTTCTAATGTCTTTCTAGAGCAACAGAAATAATTTATTTGTTGCTGAACACAAGGCTCTGGGTAAGAATGGGGCTGAATGATTAACCTACTGTAACAGAGATGCTAGGAACTTAGACAATATTGATGTTTCAGTGAGGTGTTTATCATTTAGGTAATGCCGCTAAAATGTTTTCAAAATGAAGAACTTTTCAGAGCGAGTATTGTTTAACTTTTTTTTTTACAGCTGCCAACCAAAGCCTGCAGGGGTTTGCTGAGTGACACTTCCCTGTCCTCACTGGGAGACTTTACTAAGAAACACTGGGAAGATTTGGCTCCAGAATCAGTTGTGTGTGGCTGGAAACAATTTGGGTGCATCCAAGTCAGCTCCTTCAGGGGAATAATTGCAGAGCTCATGTGGTAGCAATTCTTGTATTTGGTGGAAGTGACTGATTCTTGCACAATAAGATGACAGCCTCACAGATGAGGCAGGATTAAGGAAAACCAGACCCATGTAAACTTTAACAGGTCCCAAATGGGGGCTCTTGGGGGTTTGAAGGCATTAATGTGATTGCACATCAAATGAAATGGCTTTAAAATTTGTATATTGGAAAGTGTCTCTGCTGCTGGCAGCAATTTCAGCCCATCTGGCTTTGGATCTAAAGGCATTAAGAGCAGACTCCCCCTTCCCTCCAGGTCTTCCCTTGCAAGAGGTAAACATTCCATTGTCCGTGTCATTTCTCATGTCTGCCCTTTACCAACTAATCCTCTGGAAGAATGTGGAGTGTCTTGTTGAGAAAGAGCAAACCATTGGACTTGGCCAGTATCTAGCGTCTGTCTAGCAGAAGTGGAGATCTCCGCAGTGGCAGTTCATGTAAGGGAGTGCCCTGAGAAAATGTCGGGGTGTTTGTCTCTCTGACAGGAATCAGAACAAGAGTGATGGTATAATACCTGATGTGCGAAACTGGGGGGCCAGTGGATGGAACATCTTTAGACCCTGGGGGGAGGAAAGACTTGTGTCGCTCTCCAGTAACTGCTGTTTGCTCTCATATCCTCTCCATGGAGGACTGAAGGGAGAGTACTGAGAGGTCTGAATGAACAAGGGCTTTCCTATGGGAAGGAAGGTTATCACAACATGGTGCCTGTGGGGGATAACGCAGGGCAAGAGGAGCAGGTGCTTCTTGTGGAAAGAGAAACTTGGGTGAACCACTTGCCTCTACTAACACACATGCTTCAGCCTGTTCCTCTGAGCATTTGTGGAATTCTTGGGAACTCATCAAGAAGAGAGCATACAACCCAGAGTGGTACATTTTTATTTGATGTAATATTAGCACTCGGTTTCAGTCTCCTGGGCTATTGTTTCAGTATCAAGAGTTCAATTACAACATGGGCAGTTGCCCCCACCCTCCCTGATCATTGTACTTGAACTCTAGGAGTCTGCTTCCCTGCTGAGGCTGCAGTTCAGTCTCTGTAGTCCTCGCAGTCCTTTGTCTCTCTTCTGAGATTACTCACAATGGGGCCATTTAGTGCTAATTGTGAAGGTGGGATTTTGTTGGGTTGGCTACTCAGTCACTACTAACCTGCAACCATTTCTCTCTCCCAGCTCTCTTCCTTCTGTCCACTGACCAGTCATTGCATTGTAGCAACCTTTGGTCATTTCTGACCTGAGTTGCCTCTGGAACAGCGGCCTGCTTGTAGAGGGTTAAAGTGCTATTTCCCATTACTAATGCCCTGAGTTATTCATTCTCCTCACACTTTACCCTGATGACTTCCCCATGTGTGAAGAGCTGCTTATTGTAAACAGCTGAGCAGAGATCACATTGTGTGGTTTGCATACCAAATTTCAGATGGGCACCTTGTGTGTTTTGAAGGAAGTTACTAATAACTGTAGCCTGATATGCTCCCGACATCTTTCCGATTTGGCAGCGAGCTCCACGGCTATGAAACCTAAAACTAATGACTTGGCAGCTGAATGCAGTCAGGCCCTTGTGAACAGTGACACTGGAGATTCCAAGGGATCCACATTGCAGTCTTTACACAGAGACAAAAAAAATCATTAGCGTTTTTACACAATGCAGAGCTTTGGCCATCTCTTCATTAATCAGAGTGAAAATCCCTTGTAAGTATGACAGAAATGTCAGGAAAGTTGATTGTGTGATTCTTCTGATGAAATAGGTGGTTGCCTACAAAAGCTTGTACCTCTCTGAATCAGTTAATCTCTAATGTGCCACCCTGCCCTGCCTTATGCCTGACTTCAGACAAATGTGGCTAACCATCTCCCTCTTTGGGTGATCATAGATCTCATTTTTTTGTCAAAGGAATAAAATAAAGAACTGCCAAGGTCAGCAAACAGCACTGCACCCTTCCTGAGCATACAGGGTTTCATCTTTTTGGGTTTGCTAATACAGGTTAGTTGCTGCCTCTGACATGCTGACAGACTGAATTTCCTAATGTTAATTTTCCTGATATTTTTCGTATTTGTTTATGGCTCCTTCCAGTTGTTAATCTGCTAAAAAACAGTATTTTCCTTGCTTTCCATGTGGCCACCTTGAAAGTGCTGTGCCCTGACATCAAGCTCTTGGCAAGTTTGGGCATCTTTAAGGACATGTGTGCCTCTCTAAACTGGTTTCAGAATTGTATAAATCAGGGGTAGCCAACCAGTGGCGTGGGTAGCCTGTGTGTGTGTCTGGCACATAGTAGATAGGGGACGGAGCAGACAAGGCAGAAAGCAGAAAACAGAACATCAGATCAAGCAGGAAGCACAGGGTAGGGAGTAGAAAGCAGAACAGCGCATTGAGCAGGGAGCAGGATCGGAGTGAAATTTAGGGAGAGACCAGGGCTTGCCTTGTGGCACACCTACCGAAAAGGTTGGCTTCTCCTGGTATAGATGATCAGTGTAGGTGTTTGTTTGGGGTCTCTTCATTGTACCTTTATAAAATCCTACCCTCAAATGTTTGCTTTACTGGGATTTTATCTGTTTTCACCTTCAATCCCGTATATAGTATTTAAGTACCTTTTTTTTGTTCCTACTATGTTCTCAAGGACCAAAGATCCTGTGGTATGTAATCAGGTTAGAGGTGTTGACTTCAGTTCATCTCCCAGTTGCTAAATTGGGTGACTGCTTTCTCCTATCCTAAACCTAATGTATAACCATATTATGCTTTTGGAGGTGGTATAGGCAAATACTATACATTGGCAGTAGGCAGCCTTTTCCAGTTGCAGGCCAGAATGACCCACATCAGGTCAGAGGTGTGCATGCACTAGGACCTGCCCACAGCCGCTGTTTGTCCATGTGGCAGCACAGTGAGAGTGCCAACAGCTTGAAGCCCCATGCTACCAAAGGGCTGTGTCCACAGGCTGGATCTAGTGGTTCTGCAGGCCAGATCCAGTTCTTAGGTCATAGGTTGCTGCCCCCTGCTATACACTGTAGTGTTGCTGGGTGCTCTTAAATATTGATTACATTTCACTCCAGAGGTGGCTGGATTTCAGTAATGAGGAAAGTAGTCTTTTTACATGGAGTTTATAAAACTGAAAGTCTTGATCTTGTGAACACATGTGCATGCAAGTATCCTTGAGCTCAGTTGGACTACAGATTTGCCTCGCCAGCCATGGTTTTGCCAACCATGGTTTTGAATATCCACAGTTAATATTCTGTATACCATTTTGGCTACCATTGTATACAGTTTTTAGTAGCCATGGTTTTCTGTGGTCGCACATCAGCCCGCCAACCCCCCTGGCCCTGCTCGTGCCTGTCCTTTCCCCGCCACACACACAGTCCCTGCTTCCCCAGGCGCAGGTGGCCCCCAGCCCTGCCAGAGGTGCACATGGTGGTAGGGAGCTGCCCTCCCCTCCCCTTCCTTTCCCTCCTCTGGGTAAGAGGCAAATGCGCCAGGGGAGATGCTGCTGCCACACCCTGGGCATGCTCCATCCCCACCCACCAGCGCATACCCCCTATAACCTGTCTAAGTACCCCTAGGGGTACTCCTACACCTGGTTGACCACCCTATGTATTAAAGATAAGTAAAAATGATTTTTATACACTATACTGTACAGTATTTGAGTCCCTAACCCAATTTTCCCCATAAGACTTTAGTTTTGCCAACCACGGGAACTTTCCAGAACCTAACCCCCACGGAAGGGAAGGGCAAGGGAAACCTGTACTTGTATGTGTGAGGTCGCTCAGGATGAATAAGGTTCTTGGATGAAAGTTTTGTAAATACAAGTTCATTGTATTGTAGGAATGGTGTCCAAAGCTGCTCTCTCACTTGTTGTGTACCAAGTGAGAATTGAGGTGTATATGTTCTTTATCTTTCCCAGGTTACTAAGGCAGAAGTGTCCCTTCTAGGAATTGCATCTGTTTCTAAATTGTCAGGAATAAAAACATGGTTGTTTTTTGTGGGGGAGGGGTAAGAGAAGGGAGGAATATGTTTTTCTCCCTGATTTTCCCTGCATTTGTATTGGCGACACTGCACAGTGAACAGGATTATTCATTCTTTTTCCTCCTAATGAAGAAAAATTTCTTGAAATAAATCCAAGTATCTGGCATGTTCTATTGCACTTTCCAAGAGACCCAAAAGAGAGAGCTGATAATGCACAAGAGAGCAATAAGAGTCAATCCCTACTCTTACCCAGCTCAAGGGAGTGCTGCCAGAGCACCAAGGAAAACTACTTGTTTAGGGACCCATTGCAGAAAGGAGTTGGTGGGAGTCCTGCTAACGATTATGGAAACAATACACACAGCCGAGTGCCTATCTTTTTAATGTGATAAACCTAGTTCACTAGAACACCACTCAAGCTATGACTTTTCCAGGCTCTCATTGGGATTATAACTGGGATTATACTGAAAATTTAGTAATTAAGGCAGAGTAGCAACCTTGTTGCTTAGTCAGCTACCAAGGCCATGGGTTGCTGCTATACAACCATCCCAGTGAGCTGTGCTTTTGGGATAACTCCTTGTTGGTTTTTCCCCCAGAGTGCTGAAGGAAGTGTATGCAGCGTTCAACCCCGAAGCCGTAGTCCTGCAGCTGGGAGCGGATACAATAGCTGGGGACCCGATGTGTTCATTTAACATGACTCCAGTGGGGGTTGGCAAATGTCTGAAATACGTTCTGCAGTGGCAGCTGGCTACCCTCATCCTGGGAGGAGGTGAGTATATGTGAGGTTTACTCTGCTCAGAGCAGCAGGATAATAGCTTGCTTCCCAGCTATTTGCTTTTTGAGAGTACAATTTCTAGTTGAAAGCTGCACATGGTTTGAAGGGCAGTTGAAGGAAATGAGCATGCTCAACTGGATATTATATGGGGGAGGTGCTTGTAGAGCTGATGTGGTGTTATTTTTTACACTGACATCAACTCCTTGGTACCAGCAGGTCCAAATCTCAATCCCTGACTCTGAGATCCTAGGTTAAAGGTTTCTTGGCTTCTGAGGAGAACAGAAGCTGTTAACCCCAGTGAACTCTGACCCTGGCTCTTCAGTGCCATCTTTGAGTCCCACCTCTGGCGATCTGCACTGCAGGGCTTCTGTTTAAAAGTAAGCATTATGTTCTCAAACCTACCTTGGGCACCTGGCAATGAATTATTTCATTTGGATTCAAACAAAGTCTGGGAAAAGACTTGGCTGTATTCGCAATAAAGCAGATTTCTGATAACGCTGTATGGAAGCCCTCTCAAGTGCTTTTTAGCTTGTAGCATGTTCTGTGCAACCAGCTGTTTGTCCAATGGATAGAAAACAAGCTGTTCCTGTTGCAAGGAAAAAGTTAATAAATAAATAAAAAATAAATAAATAAAAGGCCCTTTGGCCCAGGAAATCTGAGCTGCCTTTGCCTTGCACACAGACCTATTTGCTTAATCCGAGGAGACACTCTGAACCTTTTAAGGGATATTATCAAGTACAATAGAGTAAGCCTTCCTCTTACCGGTGGCAGTTGGTTGGGAAACATTCAGCATGTTTGCTCTTGCTGACAGCATAGAGAAGTCCAGATTTTTTTTCTTTTTTTTGCACTTCTTAGCAAGACGTGAGAGTGACTTGCCCCAAATGCAGTAAAAATAACAAAACCAAGTGGTTCAGTTCTTAGAGGCATTAGAAATAAAATTTGAGACAAGGATCAATGTTTGCCAGAATATCAAAAGGAGAGGGAGTCTATGAGAAACCATTTTTTCATGCTCCAAGGATAGTTCTTATTTAGTATTTGCAGTTTGAAAATCCTTTTGCGAGTAAGTGAGTCCTGCCAGGATTGTTTTAAATTGAAGTTTTCTCTTGCGTGGCATTAGAAGATCAGCAGTGGTGACCACAACCCGGGTGATGCTTATTAGGGCTCTGCGAAATTTTGGTGGCTGTTTAGTTTAGGATTCGGACGTTTTGACAGTCGAAACGCAGGGCTCTGAAACCGCTCCGAAACTAAATGGGCCATGCAAAATGTTTTGGAGGCTGGTAGGGAGAGAGGGAAGGGGCCAGGTAGGGAAGGACTGCTCTAATATTGACATGTGTAGCTGGCCAGTGACAATGATCTGTGTCTGAGGTCCCTTCCAACCCCAGTGCTGGGGAGTGGAACCAGGGGCTGAAGGAATGTTCTCAGGTACCTGATCATTCTCTTAGTTCCCGGTTCAATTCCCCAGTCAACCCGAACGCCACCTCCGGGAGTGGGGGGGCATGACCACCACTCCCGCGGCAGGCAGGGCCCTCCCTGGAGGCTGGCAGGAGCAGGGGGAGGCGGGCAGGGGTCCGGTCTGGCCGCTTTCTCTTCCCTCTCCCCCGCACCTGGGTTGACCTGGCCCCTGGCAGGCGGCAAGGCTGTCACGCAGGGAGCTCCTTGCCAGCATCTCCTTCCTACAGGCATCGCCGGGGTTGACCTGGGCTCCCAAAAGCCACCCCTCCGGCTCCGAAAACGGTTGGTCTGGGTCTCAAAAGTTCCCGTAGGCTTGCATGGGGTTGACCTGGTGTCTGGAATTCCTGCCCCCCGGGGTTTAACTCCTAGTCAATTCCTGAGGGTGCAGACACAGCCCCTGCACAACCACCGGGGGCTTAAGCCTTGGAAAAGTGCGCCGCCCCCCCCCCGCCCAGCTTAAGCCTCCAGCTGTCACCCCCACTTTCCCCGGTTCCCCAGGCACCTTGGGCAGCCCCGCCAGGCCAGGCAACCCCCTCCCAGAGGCCCACCACAGGCTCCAGAGGAGAGCAGCAAGCAGCAGCTTGCAGGAGGGCTCAGAGCCCGCTGCATCCACTCCACCGCCCAGCAGTGCTCCCAAGGCTTGCCGGGCAGCTGGCCGGTCTGGGGCCTGATCCCACTGCCCGGGCCTGGGCAAGGGCAGGGCCAGCTCTGTCCCACTCCGGTGCAAAAGGGCAGGTGGCCTACGGCACCCAGGATTCCCAGGCGGTCTCCTATCCAGGTACTAGCTGGGCCAGGGACTGCTTAGCTTCCGAGATCGGACGGGATCGGGTGCAGTCAGTCCGGTGTGGCCGTAGGCGGGCGGGAGAGGTAAGGCAGGGGTCCCCATAGGCTTGCATGGGGTGGACATGGTGCCTGGAAGTTCCCATAGGAATCCATGGGGTTGACTTGGGGACTGAAAATCCACATAGATATACATGGGGTTAACCTGGGGACCAAAAATCTCCATAGGAATACATGGGGTTGACCTGGGGACAGAAAATCCCCGTTGGAATACATGGGGTTAACATTGCGCCCAAAAAATCCCCCCAAAATCCCCATTGCGCCTGAAAATCCCCATAGGAATACATGGGGTTGACCTGGGGACAGAAAATCCCCATCTGAATATATGGGGTTGACATTGCACCCAAAAATCCCCATAGGAATACATGGGGTTGACGTGGTGCCTGACCTCACCCTGAAGTCCATATGGGGTCGTTCCAAATCACGTTGCCCGACCGTTCGATCCAGGAGGGTGGACGCTTTTGGTGGTTGCCCCCGGTGCTGAGGCCAGGTGCCACATCTACAAAACTTTGAGGAAACGTCTGCAGAGATTTTCGGGGATGCGTTTTTCGGGACCCTAGATGCCCATCTTTGGTTCCAGAAGGCTGGTCAGAGGAACCTCTGGGGCAGAACCGTGCTGTATTCAGTGGCCAAACCCGAGTTTTGTGCCAGGTTAACTGGGAGCTCCGGAAGGGGCCCGAACCGGACGGTCAGGCCGGGCGAGAGTTCCAGGAGCCCGGCCACAATTCAGGCTTCGTCCCGGCAAAGCGCTCTGCTGCTGGGCAGGCGGGGGGCAACTCGAAGGGTCTCGGCAGGGATGCGGGGCTCCAGGGTTGGAGCCCAGCGACCCCGTTGAGGGGCGGAGGGCCCGGGCGGAGGCGGCAGGAGCCCGGGCTGGCCTCCACAAGGCCATGTCAACCTGGAGCTCTAGAAGGGGTCGGAGCTGGTGGGCCAGGCCGGGTGAGAGTTCCAGGAGCCCCGGCACCATTCCGGCGTCACCCTGGTGACCTACCTCGAGCCCAGGCAGGCCGGGGTGCTTCCTCAGCCATGGCGCGGTTCCCCAGCCAGAGAACCGGGTTGACCTGGTGTCCGCCGTGGGGCTTGGAAAAATTTTGCCCGGCTGTGTTGCAAGCGGTTGACCTGGGCCCCCACGTGGGCCCAGAAGTCTGTATGGGGTCGTTCCAAACCGCGTTGCCCGACCATTCAATCCAGGAGGGCGGACACTTTTGGTGGCTCACCTCAGTGCCAGGGCCGGGTGGCACATCCACAAAACTTTGAGGAAACGTCTGCGGAGATTTTCGGTAATGCGTTTTTCGCGACCCTAGATGCCCATCTTTGGTTCTAGAAGGGCAGTCAGAGGAACCTCCGGGGCAGAACCGTGCTGTATTCAGGGGCCAACTCCGAGTTTTGTGCCAGGTCAACTGGGAACTCCAGAAGGGGCCTGAACCAGATGGTCAGGCCGGGCAAGAGTTCCAGGAGCCCGGCCACAATTCTGGCTTCGTCCCGGTAAAGCGCTCCGCTGCCAGGCAGGTGGGGGCAGCTCCAAGGGTCCCGACAGGGATGCGGGGTCCCGGGGTCGGACCCCAGTGACCCCGGCGAGGGGCGGAGGGCCCGGGCCGAGGCAGCAGGATCCTGGGCAGGCCTCCGTGGTGCCATGTCAACCCGGAGCTCCAGATGGGGTCTAATCCGGCGGGCCAGGCCGGACAAGAGTTCCAGGAGCCTGGCCACCATTCCAGCATCACCCCGGTGACCTGCCCCAAGCCCAGGCAGGCCAGGGTGCTTCCTCGGGAGTAGCGGGGGTCCCCAGCTGGAGAACCGGGTCGACCTGGTGCCCAACCTCCGCCCAGAAGTCCGTATGGGGTCGTGCCAAACCGCGTTGTCTGATCCTTCGATCCAGGAGGGCAGACACTTTCGGTGGTTGCCCCCGGTGCCGGGTGCCACATCTACAAAACTTTGATGCAATGTCCGCGGAGATTTTCGGGGATGCGTTTTTCGGGACCTTAGATGCCCATCTTTGGTTCCAGGAAGGTGGCGAGAGAAACCCCTGGGGCAGAACCGTGCCGCAGCCTGTGGAATGAGGGGTATGATCAGAGAGCTGGGGATTGAACTGGGAGCTCTGGCTGATTGCTGGGCTGCCCCAGCTTCAGGACAGTATGTGGCACCCTGCCAACCGCAACATAGTGCAGCTGTTGCGCAGGTGCCAGGCAGGGAGGGTGATCCCCGCTGTCCCGCGCTGCACAGGGGGGGCTCTGCCACGAGCCCTCAAAGGCACCAATCGCCACTTCCAGAGCTGGTGAGCGCAGAGCTTTTTTTAAAGTTCTGCACTCACCAGCTGCAGAGCATGTGTATGACAGCATGCTGCTGCTGCCGGCTGGGACCAGGGCCAGTGCCAGCACCCGAGTCTGCCCAGTGAAGCCCATGCCGAA